CTAAGCTGACTGAGCTACATCCCATCATTTCTGTCAAGAAATAGCTATGGAGGGTTCGGCCGAGGGAGGGGTAAGATGGTGGATGAGAAAAACTGCCAGCCAGAGTGTCTCTGCAAGAAAGATAGATTTTAGAAGAAAGCGATAAAAATAAACAGGCAGACAAACACAGATCAGATGAGGGTTGGAAGGAAGGGTGCCTGAAACTACAGGAGACTCCACGGGAAGACGTTGCAGAGGAGAACTGGAAGGAGAAAGGCCCCTGAGAGGCTTGGAGACCAACGACAAGGGTAGGTGGAGCCGTTAAATTTCCCCTTCCTTGCATCTCCGACTGCTGGTGGGCTCCTGAGTGGTTGGAGAGACCTGCTAACAGCAGCCCAGAGACAGCTGCTGCCAGTGAGCAGTGAGCCTCCTGTGGACAGGGCACCAGGCTCCCAGCTCCCTCAGGGCACCTCCCGAACCGCAGACCCGAACCGATGGCAGGTGCCGTATTGCTTCATTACCCGCTTCCCCCTCCCTACTGGTGGCAGTCAAAAGTGACAATTTAGCCACCACCTGGAGGCATCTGCAGGAAACAGGACCTTTCCTTTTGGGGCCTTACAGCGGACTGAGGGGTACTAAGACTGTGAGCTTCCTACTCGCCAGCACTCCCAGGTTCTGCTTGCCTGGTGACTCCAGGAGAGCGGGGCAAATCCTGAGGTGGAGTGACATTGATCCAGCTTGGGCACCCGGTGGGAGACTTGAGACCAGCACTCTTCTCCCTGGCAGGGTCAGGGATTAATCTCCGGGGCTCGGAAGACAGGCCTGCAGACCAGATCCTATACACTCAAGTCTTGATCACATTGCCCTGGGGCAAGGAAGGGATATTTGTGAATGAGTCTACTGAGGTGTGTGTACCTTCAGGGGCAGATCAGCGTGCTTGAGGGGCAACCCTCCTCCCATAGGAGGGCTGTGTGCCCCGCTCGGGCTGCAATTCTGGGCAGGGAACCTCCGGGCCCGCATCACAGCCAGGGGAGATCCGCTGGCTTGAGGTCCTGCCTGCTGGCAGAGGCCCAGGAGAAACTGTGGAATAGGGGAGAGTAGAAAGGAGCAAGGCCTGCTCCAGATTGCAGGTCTCAGACAGACTTCTCAGCTGAGTGGGGCCATTTCAGCACCCTCCTGGCAGCTTTTTACAGAAGCAGAGAACAGAACTTTGGCCCCTGCTAACAGCATTTGTGGAGCCTGGGGGCAGGTTCACCTAATCCAGCTCCGTCTAGCCTCACTCCCCCACTTTCCCCCACTGAGTTGGAGAATAAGGACACACCTGGAAGTCCCAGGGCCCCACCCACCAGCTGAGGCTCTAGAGTGCCTCTCCAGAGGAACAAGAGCTGGTTTTGGTCCTGTAGGACCAAAAAACAACAATGCAGCTTGCTCCTCCCAGCAAGTGCCACCTACTGACAAGGAGGTCATTTTGCACACTCTTTTACTGCATCTACTGACTCATCATACAGAGTGTGGTCGAATCTCACCCACAAACACCACGTACTGGCTCAGAGACTAAACAGGGAGTGTCATTATCCAAATGAAAATCTAAAGGTAAGAAGTAACAGCAGATCCAGATGTCAAGGAATCGGCGAAAGAACTCGAAGTGTGAAGAATCAAATGGAAAGCACACCTCCAAAGGGGAAAACCAGCTCTCTAGCAATGGACATCAATGAAATTCAGAACACTAAATGACAGAAGAATAATTTTCAACATGGATTGTAAGAAAACTTAACAATATGCAAAAGAAAATGGATAACCAACACAAAGAAACCACAAAAAAAAAAAATCCAGGACTTGGAAGAAAAATTCACTAAAGAAATTGAAATATTAAAGAAAAATCAAACAGAACTTCTTGGAATGAAGACTTTATTCAAGGAATTACAAAACACAGTGGAAAGCCTCAAGAACAGGGTACATCAAACAAAAGTAAGAATCGCAGGGATCGAAGATAACACCATTCAATTAAATAAGTCAGTCGCAGAGATAGAGCAGAGAAATAAGAGAAAAGGGCAAAGCCTACAAGAAATGTGGGATCATGTGAAGAGGCCTAACATGAGAATCACAGGCATCTCTGAGGGTGAAAAAGAACATACACAAGGGTTGGATAAGCTATTTGTGTATATAATACAGGAAAATATACCAGGCCTTGCAAAAAATCTACATATCCAGGTACAAGAAATTCAAAGGACTCCTGGGAGATTCATTGGAAACAGGAAGACACCATGACACACAGTCATCAGACAGATAAAAATAACCACCAAAGAGGCCCTTCTACGAGCTGTAAGGTGAAAGTAGCACATAACCTACAAAGGAAAACCCACCAGAATAATAGCAGACTTCTCAACTGAGACCTTAGAAGCAAGAAGAGACTGGGGCCCCATTCTCACTCTTCTCAAATAGAATAATGCCCAGCCTAGAATCATGTACCCTGCAAAACTAAGTTTCATATATGAAGGAGAAATAAAGACCTTCTCAGACAAGCAAAGACTGAGGGAATTCATCAAGACAAGATCTGCCCTCCAGGAAGTACTCGAAACAGTGTTACACAGGGATCAGCACAATAAACATCAATGTAAAATCATCCAAAAGCTAATGGTCAAAGGCCAGATACCACAATGGCTCAAGAGAGAACACAAAGCAACAAAGTTCAACTCTACAGGATAAACAGAAATCTGCCCCACTTACCAATTCTCTTGATAAATGTGAATGGCTTGAACTGCCCACTAAGGAGACATAGGCTGGCTGAATGGATAAA